AGCTAATACATATTAGGCAATATAGCATCAGCGCTAGTGCAAAGGCTAACAGGCTTTGTGGACTCAAGGCTGCGAGCACCCTCTGTCAGTCAGACAGCACGACCCGCCCTCCTCTGATCTGATTAAGTAAAACGTTACTGTGGTTCTCTCTATTGGTTGAAAGAACCGTCCGTTTAAAATCAAAGTTTCTTTTTTTTCATTTCATTCTTTCAAATGACGGTCACCTGTCGCAGAGGAGAACTGTACAACCAGGAGGCGGGATCTGGTTGTCTGAACCTAAACAATTGTTATGCCGACCTCTGAGCTGGCACATAATGCCCCCCCGCCCTGTGATCTCCAGAGCGCCCCCCCCCCAAGTTGAGAACCACTGCTTTAAAGTGCTAGACCTTTAGTTTTCTCTGTGTTCTTGTAATGAATGTCTGCAGGAAACTGGAGCAGGAGTACAAGGAAAGGCTCGCAGCGGTGCGTTCAGAGCTGGTGAAGGAGATGGAGCAGATCCAGCAGCAGGCAGGTCTGCAGCGTGAGGAGCTGGAGACAGKGCTGAGGAAGATCAGGGAGGATGAAGCTTTAGTCAGAGACCACCTCTCCATCTCAGTCAAGGTACACTTACCTGTTCTTTATTCAGATTTGTTTAGTTTTATTTATATTTGTTTGGTTTTGTTTGCTTTAGATTCAGTATTTGTTCTACATCCCTGTGTAGTATTTTATWTTAATACTGATTTAGCATTCACACTGTTTTCCTCTTTTTGTATATTTCCATAATCTTTTTGCGATCTGTTCATTTCTGCAATTTTTCCACAGATTTATCTGTTTATAAATCAAACGTTTGGCTCATCTGGTGCAATGACTTTTAGTTTATGAACCTTTTTTATTCTTAAATATATCGTAATTTTATCTGTTACCCCCATAGAAATAGATTGGGATCTGTTCTGCTGCTTCATGAACTTTATCCTTAAAATCGACTTTAGCATTTGTCTTCTCGTGCTAACTTTTGGCAACTTTTCTGTTACTTTTCAATTTTAGGTAGCTAGCCTTTTGTATGGTTTGTTTCTAATTGGAAATTTGATATTTTTAGCTAGGTATTTTGCTACAAATATTAGCTAGGTATTTTGCTACAGATAGCATTTAGCTATTCTTTCTAAATTTGGCTCTTATTGAGCTTTTTGCTACATTTAGCTTTTATCTAGTCATTTGTTCCATTTAGCTTCCTTTTTTAGCCATCTCTTCATTGCATTTTACATTTGTAAACAGTCAGAAATTATAAACACCATCTGTAATTACCTGTAAGAAAAAAAGAAAAACTTTATGTTAATAAATGAACTCTGGTTCTCCTAAACATGAGTGAGGTATGTCACTGTAGGACACGCCCTCAGTCTGTCCACCAGAAGCTCCAAARATGTCAACCTCTTCAGATGTTTACCTGTATAAAAAGCCTCAAAAATCCGTAAATTTAGCAAAAAAATCCATACAACTCGCACCCGCTGGGGTGAGAGGGTTGTCAGTCTCACTGAGGACGTGAAAGTGCTGCTGCGAAGCAGGAGGAAAGGAGAGCGGAAAAAGTTCAAAACTTATTGAACTGGTTGGAAGATGGCTATTTAATGATATTTATTGTTTTTTAAATCATCCTACAGGCTCTGACATGTTACACAAATTTGAAAATGGGGTTTTGAAAAAATCCGTAAGATTTGAAAAAATCTGTGAGATTGCTCTATACTTCTGTATACCTGCAAAATGACATAAAATCCTTATAACTTATGGACAATCCGTACAAGTTGACATGTATGAAGTTCGGTTACATTACGCCAGGGCTATCAACTAAACTGCTCCACAGTTACTGCAGATCAACAGCTAAGGGGCTGAACATCCAGCAATTAAAGTTATTATGTAAATAAACAAAGTATTACAGAGATCTGTTACCTTTTGAAATAGTTTATTTTGCTGCATTTAATCATGAATACAACATACAGAACCTTATGTAATAAAAGTTGTAACAATAAAACAAAAAGAAGATATTATGTCTCTTATTTACCACAAATAATATTTTGAAATCTCTGACTTGCCAAATTTTTAAGGCAATTTTATTTTCACTTTCATAGTTTTGTCCAGTGTTGGGCAGTGCAAACCCAAAAATTAGCTCCGCAATTTGTAAAGCGCTTATGAAAATATTTAGGTCCGCAACTTCAAAAACACTTATGCCATAGAAAAATCAGCAGAAGCTAATTTTAAAGCGCAAGTTCAATTTGACATTTACCAGGTGGCAACAATTCATGTACAATATATGTACAACACTGCCAACTAGTGGTGTATGAACCCTTGTACAGCTTAATCCTACAACTGCCGATTGCTGGGGATGTGATTTCCTGAAACAGACCTTTAGCTCCTGGTGTAAAAATCAAAAAGTTGTTGAGGATTGTTAGTTCAGCTGCTTCTTTGTCCTTTTCTTTGTTTGTTGCAGATTTTTCATTAAAGAAGCATCAATAAAGTAATTTTAAAACTGTTTATTGGAAAACTGAAGTGATGCATTCTGGGTACATGACGGATTTGATTTGTGATGGGAAATGAAAGTTTTCCATGTAGTTGCTCCAGTTGACCACTAGATGTCAGTCTAACCCCGTTGGCCGATTGCTTTGACCAATTACGTCAAGTGTTGAGCTCCAGCATTTAAACTTTTTTTTTAAAAAAAGGAGCTCCGATTGTAAAGTAAAATAAATCAATACATACAAAACTTTAGTATGATCTACAAACATTAACTGCTTTTGCTATTGCGTTCCTGCTACGTAAGCAGACACAAAGCATTGTGGGAAATGAGAACCCTGACCAAAAGCAACAGTCAGCAAGGATGTATACCTTCACAATAAGTGTGTTTATCTGGAAGGGGTGCTTTTGGTTAGATCATGCGTTGTGATTCATTGACAACCATAATTAGTTATCAGCAGTACTGCATTTTAATTTTAGAAAGTGCAAATCCGCTTATGAATTATAAAAATTAGTAAGACCGCTAAAGAGCAAACAAAATATTTAGGCCCGTAATTAGCGGATTTGCGGTTTAGCGGACTGGTGGCCACCACTGGTTTTATCTTCAACTGTCTTGAGTGTGAATAGAAATGGTTTTTATCAGCTTGTAGCCAAGATTTTGATGTTTCTGTAGATACCACACATGTCTGTTTAACAAGAACTTACAGAAATTCAAGTAGAAAACCAGGGGTTTGGGCTAAAGAGATGAATGAACCAATTGGTAGGCTGAATTTTGGCCACTTGTGGGCCGGATGTGGCCCGCGGGCTGCCAGTTGAATAGCCCTGCATTATGCCAATCTTGACTGGCAGAAAAGTGACATCAGCTCTGGGAGGAGGAACTTTCTCCCAGTATTAATTCTGACGTTATGCAGATGATCTAGTAAGCACACCTCTCCCTCGCTCCAGAGGGTGATCTGGTGAGATACCTCACTCATGTTTCAGAGAACCAGGGTTAATTCCTTAAAGTTCTCTTTCAACATTCGTTTCCATATCTCACTATTGGATATGGCAACTTTGTATTGCCAGATAAGCTTACTCGAAGTACACCAAAGCCTACATGACGAGCTAAAAAAGTGCCAAGTATACTTGGCAGTAGAAAAGGCTAGGCTGTTTTATCGCAGTCAGAACATAAAAAACTTACAAAATGGAAATTTAGCCTGTTCACATGCTCCTATACCCATGGATCTAAAAGAAGTATAGCAATTCTAATCTCAAGCTGACTTAATTTTGAGTATATTAAGGAGAGAAAAGATAAGGAGGGGAGGTTTGTGGTAGCCAAACAATATTTGAAGGGTACTTTGATTACTGTTATTAACATATGTACCCCGCAAGATTGCAGTTGAAATTTGATAAACATATTTGAGTTGCAGTAGAAGCACAAGGCATTTTGTTAATGGAAGAGATTTAAATGTTCTGCTCAATCAGTCCTCAGATATATCAAATCCAAAAATCTCAGGAGTAAACAATATAACAAAAAATATTAAAATAATTATGAAGGAATCAGGGCTCCTAGATGGTTAGGGGTAGTTCAACCCAGTCAAAAAATATATAAATACTTTTTTCTCCCACCCACATTCATTTTACTCTAGACTGAACTATATTTTGTGTTTGAAAAAGACTTTAACAGAGTGATGGACTGTTCGGATCACATCCCAGGGAATAAAAAAGAGACACTCATTAAAGATTAAATACAAGTATTTTACATCCTCTGACAGAGCAAATTAGACAGGAAATAACAAATTATTTACCAGAAAATTAAATTATAATGTAATGAAAATTACATAATTTCTTTATTCTGAAAGAATAAATGTAAACATGACATGTTTTGTTAAACTGTTTGTTTTCAGGAGAACAGGCGTCTTGAGGTGGACTTACTGGACTGCACTGAGAAACTAGCCGAAGCACAAAGTCAAATAAACAAACTGCAGATAAGTTTAGAGAACGTCATGAAAGACAAGGTACTAAAACTGTTCTGGTTTTATAAAAGAACAGCTCTTCTGTGATGTGTCCATGTTGTGTTTTTTAACTAAACTTAAATGTCTACAGGTATTTATTTCTGTTTTATTGTGGATTTTTATTTTTCTACTTTCACATACTTTGTTTTTTAGCAATTCATGTATCAAAATGTTCAGCTCATTCAGGAGATCAGTGCTGCGACTTTTGGTTATTGTTTGTCACTAGTCTTTTTCTACTTTACCACTTTCTACTCTTCTGCTACTTTTGGCTTTAACTAGCCCTTTGCTACTTTTAGCTAGCCTTTTGATATAATAGTTTTATTTATTTATTTTGGATTGTTTTAGCTTTTAGAAAACCTACTGATTTTAGCTAGTTTTTTTTTTGTTACGTTAAGCTTCTAGATAATTTCTGCTAATTTGATCTTTCATTCCACTAGTGCCTCTGCAGCATGGTTTGACTTGGCTCTGCACGGTTCAGATGTGTTTCCACTAGCAAGGATTCATGGAACTGGCCTCTTTTTTAGTACCTACTTAGTTGTGGTTACAAGTGTACCATGCTGGCCTGAAAATGTGATGTCAGAACGCTGTCGGTCACTGATTAGTTAGGGGGCGGAGTCACTGGCTGCATCCAATAAACAATAGCTTAATAGTTCATAATTTTACTTACCATACTTTTACCATACTTTTACTTACCATTTAAGTCATATCACTGAAATGATATTACAACTTGTAAAGATTCATAGGGACCAAAAATATACTAGTTGTTACGAATTTAACAAAAAAGCCTCTTTATGATTTAAGATCAAATTTAAATTGAATGTTTTCAAATCTTCATTTCTGTGATGACAGCACTGCAGGCTTTCGTTTGCAGTTTTAACGTACATCTTGTCATATTGCATTATCTATAAATAACAAAAGTCAAATCATTTTTAAAACATTTTTATTATCCAGCGTCTTTAAGTTTTGCAGCCACTGCACGTTTGTAAAACCAGGAGCAATAATCCTACAACTGGGAGGCTAGACTGCAGGCAAAAAGAAAAAATCAGTAGGTCCTCTGGATGGGTTCTTCTTTAGTGAAACGTTTCGTCTCTCCTCCAAGAGACTTCTTCAGTCTGATGAGTTTCAGGTGAACTCCTCCTTATAAGCACTGCCTCCACATGGACAAACAGGTTAGTCGCATGCTAAAGAGGGCCGTCGCGTAACAATAGGCTTGATTAGCTCTATTGTTCATAGAGGGTCATGTGTCCCATCATCTGACTTATTGGTTTGGATGCTTCGGCTGTGGTTATTTAGTGTTTTGTTATGTGTATGTAGTGAATGCAGGCGGGGTTCAAAGTCCCCTTGTTTTTGTCTCTCTTTCCCTCTTTGTGTTGGTATCGTTGGGGCCCTGATTCACACCTTTTGCTCACAGGGGGCGGAGTCATAATTGCAATAACAGCGTTGTAGGAGGAGGACAACTGGACAGGAAGGCCTCCACCTCTGTTTAATGGTGGACGGTTTATCTTCACAAAGATGGCTTCCTATACTCCTCTCTCAAACCAACGTTCCTCTCTATCAAGGATGAGAACATCTTCATCCCTGAAAGAGTGACCGCTGGCCTGTAGATGAGTGTAAACTGCAGAGTCCTGGCCTGTAGATGAGTGTAAACTGCAGAGTCCTGGCCTGTATTTGAGTGTAAACTGCAGAGT